GAATGATTGGAAACAACACGTTCTATTAAAAAGGATCTAATTTTAACTTGATTCTCACCTTGAGTATCAAAATAACTATTAATTATGAGTAGAGCCCGGATTTTGATGACCTAAAAAATCTCAACTAATGCCCTTAAAAAGTGAAAAAAATGCCCTTAAAAAGGGCCAAAAATGCTCTTAAAAATGCAAAAATTGCGCAAAAAATGCCTGAAATAAAGTAATAATATTGAATTTAAAAAATATTTTGGTCTTTAAAATTATTATGAGTCATTTAAAAAATATAAAGCGATGCAATACTTGTTCTACGTTCATTAAAGTTTGAAACATATGTTTTATATCCTAAAATAACAAAAAAAGGAAAATATATTGACACCAAAATATTTTTATTTTGTATAGTAANAATTTTTGTTGAAAAAAAACATAACATATTAAGCTTATACATTAACTGAATATCATAATCTTTCTTTAGAAATTCCAATTGTGTAACATTCTCAAAATAAGATTCTATGAGATTATTCATATGAATGGATTATGCATGATTCTGAAGACAATAAAAAGGAAAAGTCATACATATTTTGAACGCTGTGCGTTGAAGGTTAATATATAAAATTTTTTTAATCATTTTGAGATGTGACAATTAAAGGGCAAAAGAAAGGAAATTAATAATAACAATCAATTAAAAATGATCCGTAAGAGTGCAATCGGTGTGTTATTTGTCTGTAACAGCTCGAATCGAATGGTTGGAAACAACACGTTCTATTAAAAAGGATCTCATTTTAACTTGATTCTCACCTTGAGTATCAAAATAACTATTAATTATGAGATTATATAGGAGACTATATATATATATGAGAATTTTTTACCTACATAAATCATTGGATACTTCTCAAGCTATTGTGAGTAACATTAATGCCTCATACCAGCCATGCATTGAAATATATTGTGAGCAATCAATTTAAAAACCAAAACAAAGTTCCGCTCTACAACTCAGAATCAATTTTGAATTTTTATATAAAGCTCACTTATTGTTGTTGAATTTCACAAAACTGTAATAGACAAGAATTGTAATTGTGTAATTGAAATGTTAAATTATTAATAACAGGCTAAGCTTTCAAAATATTACATGCAAATAAAATTTTTAATAACATCTAATCGTTATTAATAATAAAGATTTTTATATAAATTTAAGCAATCGAAACTGTTCTGGCCTTATCAACACTTTCACTCATGAAAAATCTGATAGCTTCTGATTTATATATATATATATATATAATACATATATTTAATATATATATATATAAAATTGAATTATATGGTATTGAACAAAAATTAGGAAATCGTGTGTGTTTTTATATCCTCTATAATAAGTCATCAAAATTAGGTCATTTTTTTCACATTTATATTAACTTGCAACCCCTAATATTTTTCCTTTTTTTTTTTGTTGTTGTTGTTGTTGAAGATCTGAAAAATGGATGTCATAACATTAGAAAAATTTTTACCCTGCATCAAAAGGACCAAATAATCACGCAGTGTTTAACCTTTTAAGAAATATTTTTAAAAAATATATCTGAGTAAAAAAAATTCGAATAGAAGTTAGGTATTTTTTTACAAACCTACTACTATTATGTTTCATATCAGTAAATTTTTATTTTGCTGCCATGCACAGTGCTTGTTGGTTAATAATTTTCTGTTCTACAAACCCACATGAATAGCTTCAACAGCATTTCCGTCTGACTTAACTCATTTTGTTGTTCATCAGCAAAATAATTAATGAAATAATAAATATATATAGAATAGCGAAAAGTTAAATATCGTAAGATTAACGTGAAATGCCATGAAAATCATAACCATCTTTCCAAACGGAACACGTAATACAGCGAAACTCCAAACCAATCCTTTTTACAATTTATAAACTAAATATCTGCCAATCAAATTCGATTTAACGTAAAGCAAGATTTCACGCAAACAATCAACTGATTTCATTTCGGTGTATTCACCTTGAGTTAAAAAAATTTCACTCTTTTGTTCACTAGGGAAATTCACTCTTTCATTTTAAGAGAATAACTAGTATAAAGACTGCTGGTATCGAGCTCAAGGAAACTCAAATGTCTACCCCTGATAAATATAAAATGCCTATATCATGGACACCCAAGAGAGTAATTTATAATGTTGCACTGTGCAACTCTCTAGAGAAACCAGGACGACACTTGTAATGAGCGATGGAACAATAAAGACCGAAATATTGGACACCACAGAGAAAAGGAAAGAAAGAAAAACTTCCAAACAAAATTTCTCTAATAATTTGATTTTGAATTTTAAATAGCAACATGATTAAAAAAAATTATGATAAAATTCATAATATAAATCTGAATTAATAACAATGATAGGAATAATAACAATAAAATGACTCATAATTATGCATAAATCCAATACTTTTATATCAGATTTTTATTTTCCCTTAAAAAATTACAAATTGAAAATTTAGTGAAATTTTTTTTTAGTCGCTATTCGATTATTTGGAAAGTTCGCCTTGTGCTTCTAGAATTTAAATATGTTTAAATGAAGTCTTCTAGGATTTAAGCATGTTTAAGAATTACACCATTCACAGGGAGGGGGGGGGGAACCTCTGGGTCTCTGGCACAGAAACAATTTTATTTAAAAAAATATAAAAAATCAGACTTAAGTTTCACTTGTAAGAAGAATTGTGGTGATCAATATATATTGTAAAATATTCAGAGAGCTCTAATAACGAAATTAAGCTCTTATCCATTCCTTTCTGTAAATGATGTTCGAATTATGGCGATCAGAGAAACCCACCATTTACTTGCAGTAACAGCAGAAATTCCCTATGTGTCCCCCCCCCCTATTCACACTTCGGTGATTTCCACTTGTGAACAAAAACAAGAAATTGAAGAATGATTTCAGAGCAGAATTTTTTGTTTTTTTTTGTTTTTTACCTCGGCGGAAAAAAAACTTTTTAAACAATACTTCCTTTTATAAATGTCTTCCGTATTGTTGTCAATAGAAATCAATTACGTAATTGCATCGTTTTTATTTTTAAAAAAAGTAATAAATAAAATGCGTGAATGTAACTTCATAAATGTATCGTAAAAATTGCTGAAAAACACATTTAAAGTTGTTTTAGAAATTACTAATAGCCTATAAAAATAATTTGTAACATTCAGTTTTTCTAATCGAATGAGATCTACTAATTAATCTACATGCATAATAAAATAAAGAATTTGTGTGTCCTGATGGTGGACAGAGACTCTCGGCAAAATTTCTTGGCCATTCGGCATATTTCTCAGTTTTTATTTAATTTTATTATCAGTCGTGGAACAGCTGAATCGATTTCTGTGTTTACGATTATTCAACTCAGTAGCCTTGTCATGTGGAACCCAACCCAGAAGACAAGGCAACTCCTGGATCAAGTATTAGGAGAAATTTGATGGAACTAACCCGCATTGGCATTGCATGGAGAAAAACGCCACGAAAACCTCCCACGGTTATCCTGACAGCAAAGGGATCCTAATAGATGATCCGACTATCACTTAGAATATTTTACGGCAGCACTGTGGTCGGAGCAAGCCGGTTGCGGATTTCGCATCGACCCGCCATCGCTGGGATTCAAACCCGGTTCACCTCATTGGAAGGCGAACGCTCTATCTCCTGAGCCACCTCGGCTCCTCTGATATTAAATGAAATTTTAAAAAAAATAAGCTAAGATAACTAAAAAGCGAAGATGAGGGCGAAGATGAGGGAGAAATTGTCAAGAACCGTAAAAATTCGTCATACATATTATTAGTTTGAATTTGGCAATACGCACTACTGGCAATAGTGTAATGGGTGCATTTTTAATAAGTACTAAATATACTGTTACGAATAGGTCCAAAGTATTTCATAAGTACATTGGGTGCCTATTACAGGTGCAACAATAATGTACATTTTTATGATAGATAATGAGGAAAAATGATTTTTATTCTCCCCCCCCCCTGAAGATATAAGTACAGGAGAAAGTAGCTTGATTGTGGTGAATTTTAAATATCATGAGTTGGCTAGTGCAACAGCATTATGCCAGACGATACAGTTAATCTTTATTTTGATAGGATAAACTATTAAATGCGTGTTTTGGCGTTTTGCTCAGTCTAATAACGTAAAGCCATCGGGAAAGGCAACACAGTGCGGTCATAATTGTAATGGTATTTTTCGATTAGCAGGGCGGAAGGGCCATTTTTTTAAAAAGAATTTTATGTATTGAAGATTTTTTTCGGGTGACGTTTAGTGTTCAAATAATAAAATAAATTAAGAAACAAGTAATGTATATAAAAAATTTAAATTTCTACTTGCATCAACAACGAAAAATTTTATTTTAGTTACTTTTTATTAAGTAATTTAAAAAAAATTCTAAATTTAATTCTAAATCTAAACTACTAAAATAACTTTTTGTTAAAAAAAAATTTAATAAATAGCATTACTGTTAGCATTCTAAAATAACCTAGTACTAGCACCGACTATTTCGTATATTTAAAAAATTAAATTGAACTTCAAAATTTCATGTTTCTGGCATGTCACAATGTTTCCAATAATAACTATAGTTTCAAAACTTCCCATAAATTTTTCAATATCTAATTTTTTTTTAATTCTCATCCGGCGTAAGCATTTCTAGAATATACGCAGAGGGTATTATTTACAAAAAGTTGGTCAATAATTATCAAATAATTAAAGACTTTTCTCTCAATATAATTCTAAATCTAATCTAAAATCAATTAGTTAAATTTAATGGATGAATTATTTTGAATTATCTTGAATATTAGTGAATTTCTTTGTAAAATATATTTTAGCATATTGTTGGAAGTAATAGTTTTTTTTTTAAAAAACTGCTATCAAATCTCTCTACAGTTATATAATAAATGCTTAAGACTGATGATTAAGATTTTACATAGAATCTTAGAGTGCATCGAATAATGTGGTCTGCCTATCGCAAGTTAATCGAGAGACTGAATAATACACTTTCTAAAATCTTTGAAGAAGGTTATTGTGGAATGATTGTCACCAGGATTTGGTTAAAGTCCTGTTTATTTATATAAAAAAAGATGTCCTCTTTACGTGTCTCGAAAAATCGACCTCATTCATGATAGCCTCTGGTCCAAACAATCATCTCTATAAGTGTGAGAGGACGGTCAAGGTTTCCCCCATTTGACACTACTCTGAATAACACATCAACATGAAAGTAAGTCCTCTTCTTTATTCTCTGCTTCGACCTCAAACGATTTTTATTAAATCAAAAGAGAGATTCTCTTATTTTTCGGGAAAACGGCCCTGAGATCATTGTACGGGGCGAAGGATATATTTTACTATATACAGTCAAACCCCGTTATAATGAACATGGTTTATAGTGAACTCCCGGATATAGTGAACGAAATGTTCGCTCCCCTGCCTTGCTATGCACTCATATTATTTTTTGAGGATATAGTTAAACCAAAAGAAGAGAAGAAATTGGATAGTATGAACTTTCTTCTGTTTTCGACAGATTTTTTTATCTTCCTTTTTCGGTAATTTTGTAATTTTTGCGTAAAATATATTTATACCGATTTTTAAAACCATCTTTTGAGTGGAATGTAGCCATTTATTCTTGTTTGCTTCTTCCATCTCAGTTTCCCATCCCTCCATTTTTTATACGCAAGACGAAGAGTCGTAAAAAATAACACATTTTTTGGTACTATTGTTTTTTAATCACTTTTGTATCTATTTTTATGGGTCATTTATTTAAATGATATGTCATAAAAAGGTGCAGTTCGGAAAAATGAGTTAAAATTGTTCGCAGTACGGATAGAGGGAAGTCCCGGTTATAGCGAACCGAAATTTCGGCCTCTTGAAGGTTCACTATAGCGGGGTTTGGCTGTATTATTTTTGTTTCTCTAATATATATACTTATTTTCAAATTTTTTGGTGACCATTTAACTAAATAGTATTTTATAATTATAAAAAATTATAATTTTCAACGCCTAGTTTTACCGTTTCCCCCTAATACGTTTTGAGTTATGAAAATTCACATTTCAAGCTATATATCCAGATTTACAAACAATGGAAGAGTTTTCGCTAAACTGAATGACGGGAAACATAAAAAAAAGAGAGTTTGACGCAATAATAGCTAAAAAAAAATATATTAACCAAATCAGTAACATTTTTAAGGCTGAATGTTCTTTATAGTTTCTCTAGAAATGTGAAATATATCGCTATCTCTATTTTGATTTATGACAAGCTCGTTAATTCATTTTTTAAGCAGCAATAACTCCCCCCTTAAAATACGGAGATAATTGAAACCATACTTCCATAGGATAAACATTCATTTTTGTATTGTTTATGCAGTCTTGCAATCCTAGAAATTTTTTATTTTATTTAAAGATTAAGATAAGCTTTCCTAATAATAAGATAATTTTCTGCGAGACACGCTTAAAACAATACTTAAAACTTTAAGAAATGGTTTAAAAATAATGAAAACAATATGCTTCAATATTTATAATTTTTAAATCAATTTTTAATAAAAGTATCTAAGCATATTTTATGATTGGCTTTTAAAATAATTTTCAAATTAAATTTTTATATATTTCTTAATATGTTTACGTGAGTCAAAAATGTAAACAAAATTTTAAAGTGTCTAAAATGTATGTATTCCACTTTTTTTAGTTCTTGACATATCTTGTTTCAGCATGCATTGTTAAAAGGAAGAAAAAAAATCATTTGAATAGGGGGAAAAAAACAGTCAAAACTTCTGCAAGTAGAAAAGGAGGAAAACTTGCCTTCTAAATCAGATACAAAAATAAACTTCTCAAAATATCAACAATTAAAATCATTAAAAAAATATTTACTTTAACGTAGCGGAAAAAAACATTACGCAATCCAAACTCATTATATTAAGCAAGGAATATTAAAATAATAATAATGTTTATCAAATTTAAAAAAGGTGAAAATATGTCTTCGTTTTTCCTATTTAATTCTCACTTAATTTCTTTATTCTTTTTTTTTAACTGGTGAGACTGATTAATAAAATTTCTTTCTTGTTTATTTGAACTTGACTGTTGATTATTAATTATATTTTAAGTATTTGTCTTTTTATTTTTAAGTAAATCAGAAAAACGCAAATTAGGCACTAAGAATGTAGACAGTTGATTAAAGCCTATTTAATAATTTTATAATCGCCATTGAACAGTCGATCCATTTTTTTTGGACTACTAATGCTCAACTCCTTGTCATTTTGAACCCAATCCAGAAGACAACTCCTGGATCAGTACTCCCAGAGGTCAGATTTGCTAGTGGAACATGGAGAACTTTGTGACCAGACAGATTGAACGTGATGAGTCAGTCACCATTTACTACACAGAGAGTCTTTTGCAGGGACATTGGACATGGGCCCCCAGGCTATCCCGGCCCCTCGATTCAGCCTATATTGTATGGGTGAAGAATCAAAATGTTTTACTAATTAACGCAAAATTGCTATAATAGTATACCTGCCAACTTTTAAGCATTTGGCGTAAAATTTTATTTTTACATTTAAAGTGGTAGTAAATATATACTATTATCTCTTTTGCAAACTTATTTTTAAATGATTTTGATCATCACTATTCTTAAAAAAACTAAGCATATATATTAATATGTGCTACTGTCATGGTTTACAGTTTAAGCCTTTTCAAATACATCGTATTTTTATGCTTAAAATTGAAATTTTAATTCCATTTCAGTACCACTGGGAAAAATCATAATGGAAGGGATAAAAAGTTGGCAGGTATGTAATAGTAGTAATAATGATAGCATTGAAAAATATGTCACCTATTTAATGATGAACACTCATTTCATCTACGTTTAAAAAAAAATAATTTCCAGAAATTTTATGAATTTAAATATCCTTTCAAGACTTAATTAAAATTCTAATGTGAAGGTAGGTAAATTTCTTTAACAATAGATCCAAAAAAACTTTTTTTTTTTTAAATTATCGGACACTCCTTCATAGACCATCTATGTATTAGCAGTTAGAAAGCACTGATCCTTATTTGTTCAAATGTCTTGTTTTTTCTATTATCATTCATTTAACGATTTAACTGAGCGCTGCACGAATTCGGTATACAATGCCTGAAAAGGGTGAAATGATAAACATGATGATTCACCGCTTTTTTAACATTTATTTACTAGTTCCCGTGGTTTGTAACCCAACTCCCCCCCTCTGGAAGTTGGCTGACCTTTATCGCCTACTTTTTTCTTTTTAATTGAAACAAGTAATATAACAAGCAATTCCTACTTAAGGTCAACAAAGACAAATCTTTATCAAATTATTACAATTAACATAAGTATGTAACTAAAATGAATTAATTAATGAATTAATATTTGAAAAAAACGGTATTAACATCAAAAGCGCGTGGTATCAAACAACTATAAAAACAGTGTTGCCATCTGCTGATAACCGTTCACCCCCAGATGGCTTTGTAAAATCCCCTAAAAATTTTTAAAAAACCCCAAAATTTTAAACTTAATGTATAAGTATTAAAAAATAGTACAAAAGTTAAATAATGTATAGAACACGTTGCTTTAATATTTTTTAATATTTTATTATCAACAAATTAATCTCTTTTTACATTTCAATCGTTATATTATCTTTAATTTCTACTAACATATTTAAGATATTTTTTTTCAATACTTTTCGACTTGCACATTTTTTCATAAATATTTTATTATCAACGATATAGTCTTTCTTAATATTTTAATTGTAACATTATGCTTAAATTTCTGATAAAATATCCAACATATTTTCGTCAATGCTTTCTGATTTGTATATGTTTTTGCTGTTAAACATTTTTAACATAGAAGAAGTAGATACAAAATCCTTTACCCTTAAACCTTTAAACTGCTTTTCGTGTTCCCAATCTTACTTGTACTTTTGTACGTACTTCTTTTTTTCTTTATCCTTTGGCATTAGTTTTAAACCATGCACATTAAAAATTTTAAATAATTTGAATTCAAATTCTCGAAACGAACAGTTTGATCGAGCTAAGTAATAACCTACTACATTCAACAAAGGGGTAAAGGTTTAAAATTATATCTTAATCTTTCTGTTTTGGTTTAACATATTGATTTTCATATTACCATCTCACACATTCAGTTATAGAATTGGATATTAGAAGGTAACCAAAATGAAACTAGTAAAATTCACAAATGACCCTAAAACAAACGCCTAAAACCCAATTCCCCTAAAATACCCACTGAAGATAAAAAAAAAAAATCCCCCTAAATTTAGGGGGAAAACCCCTAATCTGGCAACACTGTATAAAAATATAAATTTGGTCATGTGGCCACACGCACTTCCGCGTAAAATGTTCTTTATCGAATTTATCTGACACAGCGAATATAGAATAATTAAATATTTAAGTGGGAGCAATAAACTTCACTGATGTTATTTTTAAAATATGTGGGAAACTGAATCGCTTCTAGTAAAATTTAAAACAATGACTAACGCTTAACCCATCGGAAAATTCCGTTTCATTTTTCGTTCATCCCTATTTAATGAATATTTGAAAGAACTGTATTAACATCAAGTGTCACCAGAGCCGGATTATACCTTTCGTGGGCCCTAGGCACAGCCGTTTTCGGGGCCCCTTCCCCCACTCATCCCCTCTTTTCAAAATATATGCTAAAATTTTCTTGCATATTTTTTTTTTACATTTTTATTAATATGGATTTTAATTTACAAATTTGTTTATCGAACTTTATCTGCAATACCGACATACTGCCGATATAGCAGTTGATATCGATAATACGTACCATTATGATTCCCTTTACATAGTTATCGATCGAACTAAACACTTCACGTCAACAATACAACAACAAACCAGCAAAGAAAACAGTGAAATTGATAGTGAGATTAATTACAAGAAATATTTATACTACAAATAGCTTCATAGTTTTCATGATACTACTATGATAACTAAGTGAAGGAAATTAACATTGTCAAAAGTAAATCTTTTGAAATTATTTATAAATAAATTTGCAAGGTAGGTTAAATGTTTACTAATAGAAAAAAAATGATTTAATACTATTTTAATAAAATGCGTAGTTTGGAATTCGACAGCATAATACAAGATTTCGTTGAATCCAAAAATCGCAAAAAAGTAATATATTAGATCATAAGATTCTGCAAAATAATTTATTACCGAAAAATATTATATTTTTATTTGTATCTTC